TCTCTCTCTCTCTCTCTCTCTCTCTCTCTCTCTCTCTCTCTCTAGCATACTGAATGAGTAGCAACCACAACAGCCTCTTATCACTACCACAGCACTTCGGCATTGTTTGCAGCTAACTGTGTTGAATCAGTTGTGTTTCTAGATCTGAGTTTCTTTGTTTAATTTCAGTCAGTGTGACCAGATCAAAGTCTGCACCGTAGCTGTGCCCATTATTATGCTACATGTGGAATGTGTGGACTGCTGGGTTCCCCGCCTTGCGTCCCTGGGCCTGCCAGCGTAATGGGGTGTAAAGTAGATCGAGCTCGGAGTGTCACTCTTGAGCCTGCAAACAGACAACGCCTCCCTCCTCCCCCTCTGCTTCATTAATCTCCCTCTCACACACACTGAGATGGCATGTAGCTCAGACAGAAAAGTGATCCAGTGTTGAACAATGGAGAAGCGGGAAGATCCATCGATCGTGCAGTGTTTCTGCAGTCCACATGCCATCACATCAGGAACACAGCTGCACTTTGAAAGAAATGACTTCATCCGAGTTGCACGCGTAGTGATTCATTGAACAGGGAATTAATTAACACACGGGGGGTGTGATCCTGTTCTCAGTTAAATGTTTACATCATTGGACTCTGTTCTAAACATGAAGATATGAATAAAGTTGATTATATGTTGGTTACCTCCAAACTTTATTGGAGACCTAATAGATGAGACTCTAAAGAAGTGCTTTGTCTTATACTTCCTCACATGCCCCCCCCCCAGTTTTTCTTTTTCTTTTTTTTAATGAAATCCCTTAGTTCTCTAGTAACTCATGAATGGCATTTTCTATGACAGGTTAAGAGTATCCTGTATTCGGGCTAGTAATAACTTGATAGCAGCTATAATCTGAAGCGATAAAGAAAAACACATCATTATTATTTATTTATCAGTTTTAACTGCTGGGAACTCGATGTGTTTCTTTCATCACCTTCTACTTTTCCAGACCTCTTTCAGTTCTTCACAGGCAAAGACATGTCCTCAGTGCTGCTGGCCAAGTTTGGAGTGTTATGATAGTAGAGCTCTGGCACCAAGAATCAAAGAGCGTGTTTACTCGAGTGACTTCCTTAAACCAGGCTCCTGTCATTGTCTCACTACCTTTAATACCCACACTTTAACTGTAAAAGCCGCTGAACTAAAGAGCTGTCGTGTAGAGATGAAAACTAAAACTAGAAAAGGTGGTCTCTCACCACAGCTAGGTGTATTACTCTGAAGGATTTGCTGTGCGATGATGTATAAAATCTGAATTCTGATAGATCAAAAACACCCTTAAGTATATTAATGAGGCAGATCTGCTGTCAGCATCCCAAAAGACTTTCATTGATCTGAGAAGCTTTTTGTTTTTCAAATTCCAATAATTCTAATAATAAAAATTTAAATTCTAACAATATAGACAAGTGACTTTAAAAGGGGGGGAGAAAAAGTCAAATCTATTTACCTCGACTTGGTTACCAGGTTTTCAACCCACTTCATAGTTGATGCCAAGATGAATAACAACAAGCTGTGGGCCAGAAAATTGGTAATGCTGGCAGCTTACCTTTGTTATCTATATGTGAGCAATCATTGAGTCCCTCAGACTGAATTTGACGCATGTGGTAGGTTTGTTTTCTTCATGTGGGTTGCATATTTCAGGGTTCCTATTATGTGTGGAGTCTTTCTGAAAGATGCGTTATTTTCTCAAATAGTAAATGAGGAATCTCACAGATTAATAAAAGTTAATGTACGTGTTTTGTCCAAGCAGGGGAAACATTTAAGCATTTAATTTAATGTTGCAGAAGGGAAGAAACCTGCAGCTTTTTCTTTAAACGTTCTGAAAACCAGTGTTGTTTTAATCAGCTTCTCACACTGAGGGATGGCGCCCTTCCAATCACAAGTCTGTCTCTGCTTCGTCTCCTTTTTCTTGGACTTAGCAGCAGCAGCTCACCTCTCGTTGCCATTTCTTATCATTTGTATGAATTACCACTGATGCGCTTGAGCAGTGAGCAGACATTGACACAGGGACGGAGAAGACAGGGCCTTGAGTGAGGCAAATGCCCTCATCTATCATCCCAATATAGAGCCCTCAGTGGAGCACAACCATTGTCTGCAGCAGGCACACACCCAGGAATAGCAGATGGAGGGAGAGAGGGAGGATGGGGCGAGCTGATTTGTTTTCTGGGCTTTGTTTATCTGAATGTGTGTTTTTGAAGTTGATTAAATCTCTACCACCTGTATTTTTTGTTTTTTTGCTGTTTGAAGACAGTAATTGCAGATAATGTGCTCCTGAGCTGATCAGTGGACTGTAGAGATTGAGTACATCTGTGGTTTGGCCAACAACAGAAAAAGAAAAATGTACAATTGCCCATTGCAAACTGGAATTTGACCAAATGCTGAAGTTCCATTTATTTTTCCATGTTGTGAGTTTCTGCATAGATTTTCACTCTTTACTAAACTTGTGCTTGTCATTTCTAGGTGGCGTACTTAAGGCTGTGAGATCGCAGGTCAGAAGGCTAGGTGGTCAGGACTCCCACTCATCACTCTTGGTTACATATTTCAAGAACTACTGGGAACAGTCAGGATTACATGTGCCGTTTCTTTAAGTTAACATCCCCCAGTGCACTGAGAGAATGGGAATGGAATTTACTGCAGGAGGGGGAGAAGTGCACCAAGCAGGCTGTAGCTTGTTAAGCACATCAAGTTGTGGATTGCGGTTGCTTCTGTCAGAATATTTTAGTGTGTCATCACCTGCACTTAGATTCATGTTGAAACAGGATGATGGCACACTACATTTGTAGTTCCAATGATCTTGAAATGTATCACAATGGTACAAAAGCCTGTGTATATGTGTTGGGTTTGGTTGTTTTTTTTTGACAATTCTTAGCAAAGAACCTGAATAAACAGTTGCTTAAAAGAATCACCTCTCTTTTTTTGTCTTATCTCCCTGAGATGACTGCTGGTTGATATGTGGGACATTGTTCTTCAGTTGGCTCTTGATGAAGGCTTATTATGGGAACACTTCAGCCCCAGGGCACAGCAGCACATCTTCCACTTGAGAGTAATTACAGCTCATGGAGCTAGGTGATTTTTTTTTTGTCTTGTTGTGGGTTTGTTTGGGAGTGTGTACCAGTTATTGATAGTATTTATATGATGTGCGTGATATGAGGAATTATTGTCAAAAAGGATGTTTATACTTTGAAAGTGGTCCTTTTCGTTTGAAATAATTGCTCTACTTCCAGATGGATGGAAATTCATGCAGACGGTCAGGATTTCCAACAGAGAAATCTTTGGTGGTCCCACAGATGGTGTGATGTTTATAGCTTTGACAAAAAATGTTTTACTATCACAAGGATTACCATGTAGCCTAGACATGTGTTAGTTATGTCCATCATTTTGGTTTATGATCAAACGCCTCCAAAACTAATAACACTCCCATAAACCTCATTCCTCTTAACATGCTAGCATTTTAAAATTAAGATGCTGAACATAATTAAAAGGTTGTCGGCGTGTCAAGTAAGGATAAGTAACAATCAGGGATTCCATGAATGACATTTAACTTGGGATTTACTAACACCTGCCTAATATTGTATTGGTCACCCTTTTGTTGCCCAGCCCTGACCCACTGAGGCATGGACTCAACTAAACCCCTAAAGGTTCACACACACACTGCCTGCACCAACTTGCTTTCTTCCCACAGTGCATCCTGGTGTCACATGTTCCCTGGGTATGGTGGAGCCCATGCACCAAGCCATCTATGTGATGTACATAAAATGTGATTTCTCTGTTGTCCAGTTCTGATGCTCACATGCTCATTGTTGGTGCTCTTGGAGGTGTACAGGAGTGAACATGGACACCATGACTGGTCTGCAGCTATGAAGCCCCCCATAGACAAAAAACTGTGATGCACTGTGTATTCTGACACTTTTCTATCAGAGCCAGGATGAACTTTTTCTGAAATCTGAGCTACAGTAGCTTGTCTGTTGGATGAGACTACAAAGGCTAGCCTTCTCTCTATGTGTGTATCAATGTTTCTTGGCTGTTGGATGAGCCTGTTGCTGGTTCACCACTGTTCCTTCTTTTAACCACTTTTGATAGATACTGACCACTGCAGACCAGAAACAGACACTGGCCCAGTCGTCTAGCCATCACAATCTGGCCCTTGTCAAACTTGCCCATTTTTATTATATTCACTTGCGCCCTAAAATATCTCACTGACTAACAGGTGCCATGATGATGAAGAGATAATCAGTGTTATTCACTTCACTTGCCAAAGCGAGGAGTAGTTCCCATAGCCCAGCTTTTACACGCTGAAGGCAAACAGCATAGAAGGGTCTGACAGTGAGAAGGAGTCCTCACTGGCTGCATTCATTTTTATTTAGCAAAGACACAAGCTTGCAAGAAATGAGGAGAGACAAGGGCAAAGTATGGTGGCCCTGAGAGGCCAAACGGACTGCAACTTAAGAAAACACCAGCAATAAGAAAAACACTGCAAAAGCACACAAAACACAACGGAAATAGGAAAAATGACAACAGAAATAGGAAAAAACAGATTTCCAAAAGCACAACGGAAGTGTTTCTGGGGAGACAATAACCCGACGGACCAGTTGCAGGAACCAAAATATACTAAGAATTGCGCTGGGAGACACTTTAAAGAAGTGGAGGATCGATTGGTTTTGTGAGGAAAGAAAAGATGAGAGGTAAGTGTGTTAGCCTAACTGTTAGCCTAAAAATCCGTCATCAGTATTATATGAATCATGATAAAACACACCTACCATGTTTTGGGTTCCTGCGACTGGCAACTAGCTATACAGTTGTATACAGTTGTTATGAAAGGGGAAACTGTCCATAGACGCTGGAACCATATTTTTTATTAGGTTGTAAAACATGTTTATTAATCCTGTAAAGTTCAGAATTTTAACATGGCAGTCTATGGGGACTTACTCTCTTTTTGATGCAGCGTCAAGTGGCCAGTGAAGGAACTGCAGTTTTTGGCACTTTCATCTTACTTTTTTTATTTAGATTTTATATTTTGTTTTGTTTTGTTTTGATGTCCTCCGTCATTTACATCAACGTCAGGTTGGGCCTCCTCTTGATACCTCCAATGAACAGCTACGAAATACAAGTCCAATATGTGGAATCGACTTAAGCTCTTTTGTCTGCTTAATTTGTTACTGAATAACAAGGGAACCTGCCTCACCTGTCCATGAAACTGTTTAGCAGTTAACTGTCCAATTAAATTTGAGCTTCTAAAAATGGTTAACTGTAAATAAAATATATCTATAACTCCTGAACATTTAATGCAAAACTTTTGTTAGACCCCATGAATTAAAACTGAAACGCTGCACTCCAACCAAGTCTTGATTGTCTGATTTAAAATTCACTGTGGTGTTGTGAATAAGAAACCTAGAAAAACTGTCCTTGTCCAAAAACATATAGACCTAGCTGTATATTCTCCCTTATGTAATGTCAGAAAGCCATATCTTTCACTTAGCTGTCACTTCAACTGCTCACCTCAAAGTTGACGCTAGTTTAACTCATGTATCCACTCTGTGTCACCAACAGTTATTCTACCTGTCATCACTACCAGTCACTGTTCATCCCTCGACTCTTTTTTTTTTTTTTGCCTGTGAAAAAAAGGTGATTTATTAATTTGACACTTTTAATTCATATTTTCAAATGTTATATGGAGAGCATGTCATCAGTGTCGCATTTGAATGCTTGAACTTGCCCCATAAATCAGGAGAGAAATACTTTTCCTTCCTGCTTATGAGCAAAACTGCCTCCAGAGGCCAGCCAGATGAGTAAAGCAAAATGATCTATTACAGATTACCACTGAAGCATGTGATGCACACACCTCTACTTCACGGCTCATGAACACGGCACCCAGTGTGCATAGGTTATCTCCGACCAACAGTGCAGCATAATATCTGCCTGCACATCTATTTTTACAGGCTCCTAGTGAGGACAAGGGGACTTTTTCTCCTTCCTTCTCCTCACTGCATGCCTGGATCTGCTTAATGCTGATGCGGCAAGTGACAATTACTTTTAAAAATACAAAGAAGCATTGTGCCCACCGAGGCAGCAAAGCAGAGAGTGAATTGGCTAATTAAATACATCCAACACTGAACCGTCAAGGGGTTCTCATTTCCTTTCTGCCCTTTCTCCACAAGTGCAAATGAAGTAGGCTCTAAATAACCCATTTGTTTCAAGCCCGCTGAGCAGACGGAGCTACTCCACATTACTGGCTACTGCCGCTGTTTTGAACATGCCAACAGACACAGTCACCCAGAAGCCTTGAGGAATTCTCCGTCTTCCCCCCTCTTGATGATAGACAATAGAACTGTCAAATTAAAAGTTTTTTTTGGCCAGTACACCACCGTCTGTTGACACTGTGTGGCTCATTAGCCTTTTCAGGCAGTTATCCCATGAATAATATCAGCCTGAACAAAGGTCTACTACATATTCTGACTAATTAATTACATGTCCATGTTGGAGGGCCTTTTTTTTTTTAATGGTTGCTCTTCTTTTACGTGTGCAGTAGATTTAAGGAAGAAAAGAAGACGAGACTCAGCTGCAGCTGGCAAGGATTGTAATAAACTGACATTGTTGTGCATTGTTCCAGGTGCAAAATTTTCCTGTGGGATAGTTCTGGCTCTTTGCAGAGATATCACTGTCATTATTACAGCCCAACTGATATTACCATGCCCATAATATTCTTCTTCTTTTTTTTTTTGCCTGTCCCATTGGGCACAGTAGCAATCAGAATTATTGTTATTATTGAAGGCCAAGAAAATGCCCAACAGATTTATTTTCCCATGTGGATAAGCACCCCTTCCGTGAGCACCCCCATTTCCTGGAATCCACCAAGAGCAGGGGGCCCAGGCCCATCCGGACTGGGGCCGATAGTAGCAGCATCGCCAAGCCCCACAGAGCCCGGGGCAGCCCACATGACCCCACCGCTTTTTGTTTTCTTGGATGGGTTGGAGTCATGTGGCATCATAGGATAATTTACTGACCAGTTTTACTGGAACGTTACTAAAACATTTTCAGAGATCAGCCTTGCTCTGTACGAGTGTTTCTGTGAGTAAGATCCACTTGATTCCCAAAATCCACCATTCCCCAGCAGAACATTGCACTATAACCACCTGTCACCAGGTTTTAATATAAACAATATCAAAATCAGCATTAGGGGTGGGGGGTAATGATACAGCAGTGTATCTAAATATTTTGCATAGCAGTATTGTATGGGTGCAGGGACACCAAATATCAGTATTTTATGAAATAAACTGAAAACTCTGGGAATACTATGAACAAGAGGGCTCACCTCATGTGCCACTATCCTGAGATAACGTTAGCCAACACTGGACATACTTAGCTTGACAAAGCAAACTCTTAAATCAGAGCAAGCTAACAGCTCAGTCACATGAGTAACTAAATGGTTGCCCAGAGCTTGAGGTTGTTGCACCTCAAGCTGTACTTTTGATATTAAGGCAACACAGAGATCGCCTGATAGGACCTGTCCTGCAAACAGTCACAGTCTGACTTGGACCGACTGCAATCAGTTTACAAATAATTGCTTTGCAGACAGATTGCCAATATGTTGCCATCAGTCTAAATGAGTCTTTATCAGTAAGGACATCTCCCAGGGGCTCAAGTCAATTAGCTGCCAGCTGACTGTATTCTGGTTATATTCATACAGAACAGGAAGGTTACTGACTGACACCGGTCACTTTGTATTATTCTGATACATCATTCGTCCCAATTTATGTCCTCAAAATGTAACATTTGAGGACTTAAATTGCAGTTTAAAAACTGTGATAAATTGGAATATTTCATTGCAGTACTCACATAATGTTAAAAGTCGCAATCATGTAGTATTTTGATAAGTTAATATCGTATTGTGGGGTGAAAAAATGAACTTTTCAAGTGCCAACCAATCAAATTTGGTTTATTAAAATGCTCCATTGGTGCTCCTGGCCAAACTAATCACCTTACAAAAATGTCCAGAGAAAGCAAAGTAGCTGCTTATGTGTCCTGTCCATAAAACTAAGCCTGATTATTTCAGTAAGTAATCACTCTGTGGTAATTGAGTTAGTAAAGTTAGTAACAGGGAGCTAGCTGTGGTAGTGTGCCTTGTGAGTGATGGTGCATAGCATAAGCACATGATGTTTTTATGTGCAAATATTTTATAATACATTTATGAACTTCTCTCAATATGTCCACACTCTGATGCTTTGATTATTTCAAGAGCGCCAGACTCACCGAGAAGCGATGTGACCAAAATAAATAAAATAAAATCATAGTAAAATGCTTCATAAACATCTTCAGGCGTTCTAGTGATTTGGTTAGGCTGTGTTTTGCACAGCAGGGAATCAAAAACAATCATCCTAGCAAAGTCCTTTTTTCAACTACTGGAAATGCTCGTATTGTCACGGCCGAGGCCGCCTCAAAGGTGAAAGGACTCAAATGCAGGACGCCGAACAGCATGTAAGTAGTTTTAGAGACGATGTTTATTTACTCAGTAAGTGTTCATAAACTGGAAAGTGAGGTTAACAAGTGCAAAGTGCCACAACTGAATCAAAGGGGTCTTAAGCAGCCTGGGCTAAGTAAGCAATCTGGTCTTGGTCAGTGGAAACAGCAGTTCCGGGGATTGGGCTGGAGGGAGAGTCAGACTAGGTCCAGGGAAAGGGTCAGAGTCACGCGGGTGGCCGGTGGTGACGTGGAGGGGTGAGTGGTCCGAAATTCCTGGCAGGGAGGCAGGCAGGTGGTTCGGGTGAACAGCCTGTGGGACTGTCAGGTGGTCCAGTATCCGGGTTGGAGCTCTTCGGCAGAGATTAGTGTTTGGCAGCTTGGTGTGGCTATGAGAGAAACACATGATGAGACAAGGTAATTCACAAAGCAAGTGCGAAATCACGGTGGTGGCCTGCACTAACTAGGGTTAGCTGAGAATCTGGCGAAGAGAGGTTGAGTGCGCTGGCCTTATGAGTCCCCGGCTAAATTACCCACAGGTGTGAGCAATCAGCCGAACACTGAGGCCCCTCCCAGGGGTGGAGATGCCGGCTCGGAGGGAGACACACTGGCACACACCCGGACCATGGCACATATTTGCTAATTAGAAATAGAATTAGTTTTGCAAATATTCATCAGTAGTGAGCAAGAAAACAAATTAGCCTGATGATTACGATATATAAAAATGTAGTGGTGAATTTATCTAGAAGGGCTCATTGGCTATAGCTGTCCAGACACTTCACTGAAAATAACAAATATCAACCTCAGGCTGGTGCTAGAGAAGAAGTCTGGGATCACTAATTAAGATGAAGATTCACAGTCTCAGAATTATGTGTTTGTCTTCCGTTTTGAGGTAATCTATCTGGATATTGACCTGTTACTAGATAAGTGAAAATGTTGACCTGACAGTGGGACTAAATAAAAGTTAGAGGCTCATCAAAGTCATTGATGTTCTTAGACTGGGACTGAGAAGTAGAAAT